TACATACAATTATCACATTAACAGTGTTGATAATACCTTAACCCAGTCCATATATGATTTTCTCAGATTGTCTTAAAGGTGTCTTTTTTTTTTTTTTTAAAGATTTTTATTTATTTATTGAGAGAGATGATAGCATAAGAAGGGGGAGAGTCAGGGGGAGAGTCAGAGGGAGAAGCAGACTCCCCGCTGAGCAGGGAGCCCGATGCAGGACTCGATCCCAGGACTCCAGGATCATGACCTGAGCTGAAGGCAGTCGCTCGAACAACTGAGCCACCCAGGCGCCCTTAAAGGTGTCTTTTTACAAAAGTTTGAATCAAAATCAAAATGAAGCTCATGGATTGCATTTGGTGCAATCTAGTTCCTCCTCAAAAACAAAGTTGAAAAAACTGGGTCATTTATCCATCGAACATCCCGTATTTAGGGTTAGCAAGGAGCATATTTATAGTGTCCATTTGTTTATGTCTCTCATGTTTTCTGTAAATTCAGAGTCAGATCTAGAGGCTTGACTACATTCAGATTCTCCCTTCCCCCTCCAGGAATACTTAGCTGCTTGCCTGGTGTATGTCCTGTTGTGTCACGTCAGCAGGCGGTATTGCCTGACTGTCCCATTTTGACTTACCCATTATAACTGTTCTGTTGACCATTCATGTAGCAGTTTTAACATTCCTCAGTGGTCATTGTCTCGGTCCTATTATTGCATTTGTCATTGAAAAATAGTGACTTTTCAGGGGAAGAGGGGACCTTATTTTGAATAATTCAAGACTTAGAACTTGCAAGAACAGTAGAAAGAATTCCAACATGACTTTCACTCCCATCTGCTAACATCTTACCACATCTGCTTTATCAGTTTTTTTGGATAATCCGTTTTTCTCAATAATGGCTCTCCGTAACTATTTTTTATGAACCGTTTGGAAGCAAGCTGCAGACATTATATCCCTTACTCCTAAACATTTCAGGGTGTGTTTCCTTGAAACAAGGACATTTTCTTACATAACCACAGTGTAATTATTAAAATTAGGAAATAAATGATATAATACTAAATATTCAGGTTTCATTAATGTTTCACCAATTGTTCCCCTAATATTTAAAAAAAAAATTTTTTTTTAAGATTTTATTTATTTGACAGAGAGAGAGGCAGCGAGAGAGGGAACACAAGCAGGGGGAGTGGGAGAGGGAGAAGCAGGCTTCCCGCAGAGCAGGGAGCCCGATGCGGGGCTCGATCCCAGGATCCCTGAGCCGAAGGCAGATGCTCAACGACTGAGCCACCCAGGCGCCCCCCGCTAATATTTTTTAAAAGGAGAAAACAAAAAGATGCAGGATGCCGTCCATGATTATTTTTTGTATTTAGTTGTCATGTTCTTGAGTCTCCTCTAATCTGGAACAGTTCCTCTGTCTTTGTCTTTTCATATCTTGACACTTACAGGTGCAGGACAGTTGTTTTGTAGAATGCCCTCAATTTGGAGTTGTCTGGTGTTTTCTCAGGATTTGGCTGAGATTATGAAATTGGGCAGGAATAATACAGAAGTGATGTTATGTCCTCGATGTACCATATCATGATGATGTTGGTTTGAACCATTACTGGTGATGTTAATTTTAATCACTTGATTAAGGTGGTGTCTTCCAGGTTTCTCCACTGTAATGATTTATTTTTTATTTTTATTATTTTTTAAGATTTTATTTATTCATAAGAGACAGACAGAGAGAGAGAGGCAGAGGGAGAAGCAGGCTCCCTGCTGAGCAGGGAGCCCGATGCAGGACTCGATCCCAGGACTCTGGGATCATGACCTGAGCTGAAGGCAGACGCTTAACCATCTGAGCCACCCAGGCGCCCCTGATTTTTTTTTAATGGGAGATACTTTGAGACTTTGTAAATATCCTTCATCAGACTTTTTAAAAAGATTTTATTTATTTAAATAGCATGAGTAGGGAGGAGGGGCAGAGGGAGAGGGAGCGGTTAGAAGCAGGCTCCCAGCTGATCAGGAGCCCAACATGGGGCTTGATCCTAGGACCTTGTGACTATGACCTGAGCCGAAGACAGATGCTGAACCGACTGAGCCACCCAAGTGCCCCTCCTCATCAGACTTTTATCCACTAGTTTTAGCAGCCATTGATTCTTGCTTGAACAATTAATACTTGCCAAACTTTCCTTTTATATTTATTAGCACTCTAAGGAAGAGCTTTCCATACACACACACACACACACACACACACACACACACACACTATAGGTTACAATCTGGTAATATTTTTCATGCACAGATTATTCATTAGGTGCCCCTCCACGTTGTCTTTTGTGTCCTTTCGCTATGTCCCCATCGTTTTTTTGAGCACTTACTTACTTTGGCATGAGATGTGCTAGGCTCATCATCTACTTTTCCTTTCCCAGATTTGGAATTAGCCATTTCTCTAAGGAGTTTGCTGCTTTTGCAGGGGAGGCCTGAGGATTTGTGAGTGGAAGAGTCAGATTTGTTTGAGTCTACCCAAATATCCCCATTCCACATCTCAATGTCTCACTCCTTTCCAATCAGTGCCATCGGTTTCACCTAAGAGAATTGGCACAGCTGTGAATTCAAGACTGTAGTTCTGCAACTCACACAGACTTGGGGCCTCGTTTGCAGCCAGTTATGCCCTGTATCCACAAGAAATAAGATACCTTTTTTAAGACGGCCACAGAAGGACTCCAGTATTCTGATCATGACTTGGCTTTCAAATTTAAAGCCTGAACTTGTCGTTTTCTGTGAGCACCCAGTGAAGTAAAAAGTAGCCAGTTCATTTCGCTATCCTGTTGATCATCATCACCACTCAAAACATCAAATGCATTATCTACTTGGTCTCTCAAGCCTTGTCTTCAATAGGCATTTCATGCAAAAACAACCACAAGTCTTAACATACGGCGTGCCATACATTTCCAGATCAGGTTTTCCACTGGCAATGAGGTCTTTCCTGCCATTGAAGCTCAAACATGGTGGTGAACCAAGTTCAGAAACACATCTTTGAGGGCCTGTTTCTCAGGACGATTCCAGGTGCAAAGCTCTGTACTGGTCAGGATCAGACTTGGATACAGAGTTCACTCTAGGTATTTCAGACAGAAGAGATTTAGTGCAGGGATATGTTTTAGGATGTCTAAAGGACTAAAGGAGCAAAAAAGGGAAGGAGGGAAGGTTGCTCATAAATTGACAACTGCACCTAGGCAACTGACATCAGCCAGGGCTGGAGAAAGATTCCTCAGAGGTCACGGCACTGTCGACTAAGGCTCCTGGCAAGGACCCAGAGCCCGGACTTCCAACTTGATGTGGCTGCCCTTGAAGCCCTGAGTCCCTGATGTTCTTAACACTGTCAGGAAGGGTCACTTCTCCCCTCCCGCCTTGCATCTCACAAGAGCGCCTCCCATTGGCAGATGCTACCAGGAAGTCAGCTAGGACGGAAGTTTCAAGTGTCATGTGGGGATCTGACTAGTTATGCTGCTACATTACACTGCAGGGCACAGAAAGTTGAGGATGGGGGACTGGGAGCAAAAAAGCAACACAAATGAATAAACAAGTGAGAAGATGCTCCCTGTTAGCTCTATCCCAGAAATCCCAACTGATTGAATCCAAATATTGAGTTCCTGTTGCATACTGGACATGGTGGTGCTAGGTTTTAGAAATACATTGGTGAATAAAACACAGCCCCTGCCGTCCTGGGATTTACAGTCACAGGGTGGGGATAGATAATCTATGAACACTTCATCTAACGGCACCATTACCTATATCTGACAAAGGATGTTTATCTTGGATACACACACCAAACAAAATAAATGTAAAAAGACCACTCTAATAAATGGGCAAAGAAAACTGAGCAGACCATTCACAAAAGAGGATATTCCTTTGGTCATTAAATATGCAAAGGTGCTCAACTGTGTCAGTCATGGAAATGCATCTGCAATGAGACACCATTACATACCTATCAGGATGACTAGAAAACCAAAGACTAGCAATGCCCGGTGTGGGTGAGGATGCGGAGCACCTGGAACGCTCACGCTGCTTATAAAGTATAAACTTTATAAACGAACACTTGGGAAGACAGCTCGGCAGCATCTACAGAAGCTAAACTCTGCCTCCCCTCTGACCTCGCAATTCTGTCATTAGATTTATAACCAAGAGAAGCTAGTGGATATGTTCATCAAAAGACATGTTCAAGAATATTCACAGGAGCCAGATTCATAGAAGTTCTAGGAAGAACCCAAATAGACACAGATAAATGGCAAAATGGATAGAAGAATGATTAGGTTGTGACATAATTCATATAATTGAATACTATTCAGCAATAAAAACAAATGAGCATCTACATGCAGCAATGTGGATGAATCTTACAGAATGTTGAACAACAACAACAAAAAAAGCCAGAAACGAGTTCATATCCTATGATTCCATTTATTTGAAGTTCAGGAGTAGACCAAACTCCTCCATGGTGACAGAAGACAGAATCATGCTTTGGAGTTACTGATGGGATTGGGGGGCAGGAAGGATCCTGCTGGTGTGCTGGAAATGTTCCATATTGATTTGGGTGATATTTGCCCTGGTGTATACATGCATAAAAGTTCCTCAAGCTGTAAACATAAGATTTGTGCTTTTCACAGTATGTATGTTATTTCTCAGAAAATTCACCAAAAAAAAAAAAAAAAAAAGAAAGAAAGAAATGAGAGTTTTATGTAAATATAAGTGCTAAGAAGAAATTACGTGATGTGATGGGTAGATGGGAGGCTGACTGATCAGAGCTGAGTCCTGAATGGTGATGAGGAGATAGCCACGTAATGAACTGAGGAACTGCTTTCTGGGAGATGGGACAGCAAGTGCAAAGGCCCTGCGACAGGACCACGTTTGGTGTGTTGGAGGAACCTAATCAAGACCAGTGGACTGGAACACTGTGAGCAGGGCCAAGGCAAGCCTTTAAGGTGGCTTTTCTAAGAACGGGGGTGGGGGGGTGGGGGGCACAAAGGGTGTGAGGTAAGGGGTGCTGGCAGTACTTTCTGAGAGATTCGACGAGTGAGGGAGAGAGAAACCTTTGATAACTTTTAATTGTGTGTCTAGGATATCTGGAAGGTCGGGGGCTGGGGTTCCACTGACTGAGCAGGACTAGGGAGGCATGGAGTCAAGGTCGCTTTGGACACATTAAATTGGACATACTTTTTAGATACTCATGGAGCTTTTGGGGAGGCCACGGGTGGTAGGGCTGAAGTGCTTCACCAGACCCGGGCTGGACACAGATGCCAGGAGCACACAGGTGGTGTGTCAAGTCTCAGGCATCTGGGAGAACAGAGAGCAAGAAGAAACAGGGCGTTTAACGACATGAGCTTTTCTGGAAAGAGACTAGAGCTGCTGAGGGTTTGGATTGAAACTGTTTTAAAAGTGCTTCTGTTATTAACAAGGTCTGTTGAGTATTGTCTCCCCACCAGGCATCAAGAGCCCAAAAGTGAGCAGACTGTGCAGTGCTTGACTGCCTGGGCTTCAGTCTCTTGAGCCAGGGCCATAGGTACTAAAATGCAGATCCCTGGGCCTACCCATGACCCTCGGATACAGAGTGCTGGAGGCATCTGTATTTTCCAAGTTCCCTGAGTGAGTCTTTTTGCACATTGAAGTTTGAGAATCTTATTTCCAGCGGCTGAGGAGTGTGTGTTTGGGGGGGGCGGGGTAGAGACAGAGAGAGAGAGAGTGAGAGGGCTAGGGGCAGGGAGAGAGGGAAAGAGAGCAATTTCCTCTTTCTTTCCTTCTCTGAGGGTGGGGCTACTTTGGAGTTAGGAAAGCAGTCCGTTCTGTAAGCTCTGCTGTGTGTGTGTGTGTGTGTGTGTGGGTGAGTGCGCGCGCTTATGTGTGGGGGGCGGGCACGGTGTCCCAGGAGGACAGAGTTTGCATTGATGAAAACCCTTCCCAGCCCTTTGATACCTCTTTCCCGCCGCTCTGAAGTTAACTAGCTCAGTCCTCGGTGCATCCCGTTCTCCAGCCGCGCTCCCTCACTGGCCAGGATGGCATTCCGTGTGGCCCTGCGCATGGCACTGCTGCTCCTTTCCGGGGCCCTGGCCCCTGCAGTGCTCACAGGTAAGGGTGCTCCCTTGACTGCTGCCACCAGCCGCCCAGGGCCAGGAAGCCCTGTGTGGCCCCCTGGGCAGAAGCCCTTCCCAGGAGACGGCCGCCGTTTGGGGTGATTCTGCGGAGGGCTCCTATGAGGTTGGCTGTCAGGAGCCGAGTCGATGTCCTGGGAATTGCTAGCTGTGGGGACGATGGCCCCTGAAGCAGGGGGGTGATCTAGGGAGCAGGACCAGGGACATTAGCTGCCTGGGGGACACGGGGTTTACCCCAGCATGCTAAAATCTGAAGGCTTCCAGATCTGGGAGTCAGGAGGGGGCACTAGACATAGGGCAAACAGCTGAAGGACCAGAGGCCCTGGGCTCCTAGACAGAAAACCCCAGAGCCCTGCTGTTTCACTTTTCAACCCTGTAAGCCCTTCTGTGCTGGCTTTCTGAAATGACCTTCCAGACTGAGGACCCAAGTACTATATTCCCAGCCCAGGAAGAATTCCAGAAAGAGCACAGGGCCTGAGACTCCTTGGCAAAACCGTGATGAGGACACTGGACTTAGCCTCAGTACTGAGGTCAAAATGGCTGGGTCTGGGGTCTGGTGAGAAGGAAGGTCCCAATAGGCTCAGGGTGGCAGGCTCCCTGGACCTCAGCCCCAATCCTGGGCATGGCTCTAGGGCCCTCTGCTGAGAGGGGCTGGCCCAGTCCAGCTTCAAAGCCTGAGAGAGAAAAAGCTCAGACAGGTCGTGGATGGTCTTTCTCCAGAAGAAAGCAGTCTCTGTTGGCTGTGGGGTGGGCCAAAGGAGAAGGGCCCCTGTGTGTACGTGTGTGTGTTGGGGGGGGTCCTGGGGCTGGAGAGAGGTGTGGGTGGGGAGACCCCTGGAGACCTTCTCTGCAGCATGGCTTTGGGGGAATGTCTGTGGATCTGTAGGGGTGGCACCTGGATGCCAGCCACCTGAGCATGGCCCTGGGGAGAGTTGCTGGGGGGTGTGAGGCCTGGTGGACAGCCACACACTCAGGCACAAACACCGGGAAGAAATGGGTGATGGTGAGCTGCTTGTGGGCATGCAGGCCCCTCCAGATGCCCTGGGAAGAAGCCAGGCTTTGCTTCTGACTCTGTCTACTAACCGTGTCTCAGCCTCTCTGTACCTCTCCTCATCTGGACGTGGTGATAACCACAATCAGTAGCTCTGCCTCCCTTGTCGGGGACTGCGGGCCTACCGACTTCGGACACATGAGCTTTCAGGGTGGGCCGGGCATCCTGGAGCGCTCAGTAAATGTTGGGGGAACCGTGAATAAATGTCCCCAGCCCCTCTAGGTGCAGGGTGGTCTTGGGGCAGAACCACCTCCCCGTATAGGCTGGGAAAGTGCCCAGCCCCCCTTTATGTAGGAGATGTGCCAGCTGGGCAAGACGAGGGGCTGGTGGGATACCCCAGGAATTGGGAAAGTGACCTGAGTGTCGGGTGGCATCTTCTGTGGACTAGATCTTGGGACTGTGGTCCTTGCAGATCCCCCACTCCCCACCCCACGCCCCACTCCACCCCTGCCTGGTGGTCAAAGTGGGTAGAGGTGAAGGTGCTGGTGCCTGGTTGCCCAGGTTCTGGGGCCGCCTGGGGAGCTCTGTCCAGTTTCTTGTTCCCTGAGTAGCCAGCTCTTCCAGCCCAGGATGCTGGCCAGAGGCCCTGGATCAGGCTGTGCATACACAGCCTGGGTGGGTGGGCTTTGTCCGCTGCCACAGGAATGTTTGGGGACGTGTTTGGCTCTCTAGGACCTCACCTGGCCTCACCTCCCTCCACGTGTCCTACCAAGAACAGGCAGGCCAACTCCACCCCAGAGTCTTTGGGGTTTTGGCTGGCTGTGGTTCTTCCTGCTGTTCTGGGAGGGAGGATGTTTGGGAGGCTCTCAGCCATCCCACTCTGGGCTAGAAGCTCTGAGCAGGTGTGTAGAAGGTCTGGCAGGCCCCCTGACCTTTGCTTGGTGGGCTGGGGTCCTGTAGCAGGCAGGCAGGGAAGGGGTGGCCCCGTGGCTGAGGTCCAGGCCCGGCCTGCTGCCCTCCCTGTCGGTTGCCTGTGGCTGCAGCTACTGGGGTAGGGGGAGCAGGCCAGGTTGAGCAGGCGGGAGGCCAGGGCAGGGATGAAAAGGCCCTTCATAGCTGGCACAAAGGCAGTCTGTGAGCACGGGTGCCCGGCCTCGGGGCCCCGCGGTCAGAGGGAGTGTTAAACAAACCTATTTACCGAAAGGCAGGGCGGCTGGAGGCGGCGGGCTGGGGCAGAGCCCACCGTGGCCCAGGCCTGTGGCAGTGTCATGGGCCCCCCACTTTTCCTGGTTTCCTTGGTCAGAGTCACAGGACGTTGCTAACTCTGGTCCTTGGAGTTTAGGTCTATCACAGGTCCTCCTTGATCCTACCTGCCTCTCTGTCCTCACCTAACATCCCCCTTGGGGCTCACAGCTCACCTTCCATGCCCATGGGCTCCATCCTCCCTGACTTTGCTTGTGCTGCTCCCTCTGCCTGGCTTTCTTTCCTTCCCTCATCTTCACTCCTGCTCAGACGGGCCCTCCTGCTGGCAAACTCCCTGACAACTGCTTCTTATTAGGGCTCCCCAAGGCAGATTTTGGGGGGAAGGTGGGTTATTGCCTTTAAACTTTGTTTTCCCCTTTTATTACAGCAAATTGAGAAAATACAGAGACATGTAGATGAGGATCAGAAAATGCTTTGGCCTCTTCCCGGCACCTGCACCTCCTTTGCTGGAAGGCTGGTGGCTGAGTCCAGGCTGCAGTTCTGGGCTGCATAAGCTGCAGGGAGCTGGCAGGCCTTTGGGGCCCTGGCTGTTTGGGTGCAGATGAGCCCTTGGGGGTCTCCCGTGATGGTCAGCTGCAGCAGATGCACAGCACACAGATCCAGCTGGCCTGTGTCCGGCTGGAGAGGCCCTGGGGCCGAGGCAGCAGCTCATGATGGCAGTGACAGCACGTTACTACTTGTGGGCCGAGAGAGACATGGGCCACTCCCATTTCACAGGTTGGGAAGTAAAGTCGGGGAGGGTGGGAGCAAAGTCAGTCTGCGGGGGTCCTAGGGTGACAGAGCCAGGCTTTGGACCCAGCCCTTTTGATTTGGAAGCCTGTGGGTTCAGCCCCTCAAGCTTTAGGGACTGGTTGAGTGTTGAAGGAGGGATTAGAGGTGGGTACACACAGCAGGGATGAGGTGGCCTGAGCCACTGTGTCTGGCAGGGAAGATCCAGCCTTCTGTGGGGAGCAGCAGAGTCAGGCTGGGTCACGGCGGCGGGGGTAGAAGGCCAGAAGGCCTGGGTGTGCCCCCAACTGCCCTGCTCAGAGGGCGGCCCACTCTTCCCCGGAGATGGCTCCTGGGCTCTGGCAAAGGGCAGAGGTAGATGCTTACCTGGGCCCTGCTAGCTGTGGGCAGCTGATTCCCCAAATGCTACCCAGGTTGGCCCTGTGGTGGCCTCCCTGCCGTGGGTGTATGGGGAGCGAGTGGGGGCCAGTGGCTTGTCCATTTACCTGGGAAGACAGGCAGTCTGTGAGCTCCAGACTCCAGGGCCCAGTAGTGGACATACTCAGGCTTTTTCTCTGGCCCAGCCCCTGGGGGCCTGAGGCAAGCATGTCTGGGGCCTGGCACTTTCCACAGCAGCTATGAGGCTTGCAGACCCCTGCCTTCCCAGGCAGTGACAATGGAGGACAGGGTGGTCTTTGCAGTTGGTGGGGGGCCACGGTGGCCCCCAGACACCAGCCTTTTGGTTCAGCTTCAGGCCCTACGAGCGGAAGGCTTCCCCCACACTCTGTGCCAGGGACCTTTTGCCCGTGGGAGGCCTCCTTGCGAGGGCTGTTTGCTGAAAAGGGATGCCAGGTGGGGTAACCCTTGGGAAATAGGACAGGGGTCCCTGCCTGCAAGCCGAGCCTCAGAACTGATCCAGCCCAGGCCTGGGAGAGGCTGCAGGGGCAGGGCCTGAGGAGTCCTGTACAGTTTGATTGGGAAGAGATTCTAAGTTTACATCGGAGTTGCAAAAATAACCCGGTGAACTCCAGCAGACTCTTAGATTCACCTTTGCCATATTTGCTCTTCTTCCTATCTCTGTCTACCCATGTGACCCATCTGAATGTTGATCACTTCAGAATAAGTTGTAGACATCATGCCTTTTGGCCCCTAAGTGCTTCTAAGAATAAGGATATTTACATAACCAGTTACCCAAATGAGGACATGGACATCGATATAGTACTGTTACCTAAGCTACATATTCATGCTTCCCCGGTAAACCCCGTAGTGCCCCCATCCCCCATCCAGGAATACATGCTGCGTTCAACCTCCTAGGTCTCTAATCTGAAACAGTTCTTCAGCCTTTCCTTGTCTTTCTTGACCTGATGTTTTTGAAAAGCACAGTTATTTTAAGACTGACCCTGAATTTGGGTCTAGCTGATGTTTCCTCGTGATTTGCCCCAGGTGGGCACTGTTAGCAGGAAAGACCAGAAGTCCCTCTGTGTCTTCCCAGAACAGCCCCTCTCTGGAAGCTGGCGAGTCCGAAAGCAGCTTGGCTCTGGCTTGTCTGGGCCAGAGGGAGCTCTCGGGTGAAGCCTGCGGAGGGAAAGGTGCCCCAGGGACCTGTAGACAGGCTGGCTAGAGCTGCAGGAACGACACAACTTCCCTGGTGGTTTCTGGGGAAGTGTATCCTGCTACTTCATCGTCTGGGGGCTTTAGAGTCCCAGCAGCGCTCCTCCCAGTGCCCCCCCGCCCCAGCCTTGCTTCTCTCAACTCTGAGGCAGGGATACAAGAGTTCCTAGCAGCTGGAGTCAACAAGATAGTGCGTCGTGATGCCCGCTGAGCCCATTCTAGGGACTGCGTGGGGGCTGAGCATCCTCGGATCACAATTGAGATTAGGCACTGGGGAGCCCTGACCCTGCTAAAGCCAATGGTCAGGGCCAGGCGTCAGGGGGGCGGGGCGTGAGGGGTAGAGCCTGGAGACTGTCTGCCATTCTGGTCTTTAACTGGGTGGCTGGGACCTCCTGTCTGGGAAGGATGGATGGGTCCAGGGTTAGGGTAGTGCTGTGGGGCTCCACAGACCAGGATCCTTGGTGGGGAGGGGAGTGGTGTGGGGCTGGGGTTATCAACACACAGTCCTCTCAGTCTTAGCCTGCCCCCATTCCCTGAGGTCCCTGGGTACTCCAAACCTTGCTAACTCCCAACCCATGAGCAGAAATGCAGAAAATGCTGCACAGGGACTCTGATGTGCTGATTGAGCCCCAGCTTGTGGGGGCGGGGGGGGGGGCATCATCCCTTTCTTGGGGCTTCCCTTACTCTGACCATAGACACCCCTGCCCATCCCTCTGGCCCTGTTCTGTATGGAAGCAGCAATATGCTGGCATCACAGTTTCTTAGGATATAGAGTCCCCTTGGGGTTTAAGCCTTGGAACATGGATTATGTGTGGGTGCTGGACCCCATGTCCTGTGGGCTGTGTGGCTCTGCCCAGGTTAGGCCAAAGGAGGGGGACCAAAGGAGGAGTTTGCCTGTCCTCCCCACCTCCTGCAGCACTAGCCCCTCATGGGGCTCTGGGTAGGCAGGGGCCCTGGTTCCTGAAGGGAGAGTTGCCTCACCTTCCTGGCCTCTTCTGCAGGCTGAAGGCTGACCTGCCTGCCTTGCAGGGGGAGGGGTCTCTGACAGGCGTCAGGCATCTCACCCAGGCCTGCAGAGCCCAGCAGTCCAGATAAGGGACGGCGGGCCGGCCCGGAGAGGTGAAGTGCCCTGCCCCTGCCGCCCGAGGCTCTGCTGCCAGCGCAGGGTCCTCACAGCTGTTTCCTAGGAGAACCTGTTGGTCCCCCCGCCCCCCCATCAGTCTGTCTTCACTGGGCTCGGGAGCAGCCTGGCCACAGTAGGGGTCCTGGAGCCCCTGTGAAACGGGAGGCCTGGTGCAGTGCTGACCCCAGAGTCCCGCACACAGCGCCACCTCCGCAGCCCGTTAACCGCGGGGGCCACGTCCCTGTCGGCCCTGCGGCCTGCGCCCCAGCGCCTGTCCTTGGCCTTGCAGCCGAGGGCCCGCAGGAGCCCGCGCCCACCCTGTGGAACGAGCCCGCCGAGCTGCCGTCGGGAGAGGGCCCCGTGGAGAGCACCAGCCCCGCCCGGGAGCCCGTGGCCACCGGCCCCCCGGCCCCCACCGCCGCGCCGAGCCCCGAGGACAGCACGGCGCGGGAGCGTCTGGACCAGGGCGGCGGTAGGCGCGGGCCGGCCGGGCGGGGGGCGCGGGGCGGGCGGGGGCCGCGGGGCTGACCCGCCCTCCGTCCTCCGCAGGCTCGCTGGGGCCCGGCGCCATCGCGGCCATCGTCATCGCCGCCCTGCTGGCCACCTGCGTGGTGCTGGCGCTCGTGGTCGTCGCGCTGAGAAAGTTTTCCGCCTCCTGAAGCGAATAAAGGGGCCGCGCCCCCACCGCGGCGCGACTCGGCTGCACCCCCGGTGGCGCCCCCGTGTCTCGAGTGTGTCCGCGCGTGCGTGTGTGGGCGAGCGGGGCGGGCGACAACTCGCAACACGTGCGCGCGGGGTCCCCGCACGGCAGCCCACGCCCCTGTCCCCGAAGTGCCCAGGGCCCAACCCCTGCGCTCGGGCGCAGACTAACGAGCGCAGGAGAGGCGGGCCGAGCCGTGGGGGCTCCCAACGAACGAGAGCCTGCGTTATTTACGGGGAGGGGGGTTAGGGGGGCGGCGGCGTCTTTGACTTGGTCAGCCAGGCCCCATCTGCCGGCTGGGAGCGCCAGACCCGTCCCTCCAGCGCCCCCGTGAACCCCTCCACCCCAGGGAGCCCCAGGAGCAATGGGACCACAGGCCCAGGCAGCCTCCCTTCAACCCCGCGTTTGGCCCTGGCTCTCCTTTCTAGGTCATGTCCTTTGTTTTGCACACTTCCCGGGAAGCCTAGCTCTTATGATTGATAGATTTAAAATAGTGGCTGAGCTGCTCAGGGCATGGCAGGGAAGAAGCCTGAACTGCATCCCTTTGGAGTGGAAAAGAAGACTGGAGGCCTGGAGGAGGGACTGTCTGCACACCCCGTGATGGTTTGATACCCTGGGCCTAGGTGTGGGTGCTGGTGGAGGGAAGCTGTTCCTCTTCTTTCACTGTTTCTAGCAACTCTTTTGGCCTCCTTAGCTTCCCTGAGCTCCTGACCACTCCTGCTCCAGCTAAGACCAGTTCTCTCCTCCTGCATACTCCAGATGAGCCCAAAACACACGAGGGTTACAAGTCTCCACTTAGGAAGGGCTGTTCTAAAACTGACCAGTTCTCATGAAGCTGTTTAAATTACTTCATTCCACATAATCTCTGCTAACCAAAGCCCTAGTTAGAGCAGATGATCCAAATCAGCATGCTGTTTACCAGCTTCAAAAAGATAAACTGGACAAGGGCCAGGACCAATGGTCACCCCCTCCCCTTTGTCCCAGAGTCGTTCCCCCCCCCGGCCCCCAAGAACAGCATAGGGCTCAGGAATGGCCCCTCTCCCCCTGCCCCCACTGCTGGGGGACTTAAGTATGGGTACTCCTCCTGGGGGCGTAGCAGAGAGGCCCCACGAGCATCAGCCCCTCACTGTCGAGCCAGAGTGTTGCGCATGTATGCATCTTCCAGAAATCCAACCAATTCTCACAGGGTCTCAGGTCTCAAGAATGCCAGGAGCCATGTGGCCTGTGGGAAGATGCTACAAAGTCCCACTTGATCCAAATCCTGGGCTTCTAACGAAAGGCCTGTTCTGGCATGGAGAAAAGAGTGTCCTGGCAGAGTGTGGTCCCAAGCATGCAAGGCTGGGCAGGGTCAGATTCCAGACCCTCCACACTCCAGGACAGAATCAAGGGTGGGGGTGGGGTATCTGTGAGGGTTACCTGGGCTGGGCGAGGAGCTGCAGTCTTCGGGTAACTTGCTAGCGCCAGAAGTGGGACAAAGTGTCCAAGGTAGGAAGGTGGGAAGGCAGCCCTGGCCCCATGCCTGGTGTTAGATCTCCTGTGGGATCACCACCCACTGACAACCTCTGTTGCACTGTGGTCTCCCAAACCTGTGTTCTCACTTCCACTGCAGCAGAAGGATGTCCCCAGCTCCCTCAAAGAGCATCTTCTGTTTCTGGAATCCTTCCACAAGTTGAGGTCCAAATCTTCCACCCTGAGGTCCTAACTCTGGCTTTTTCCTGTCTTGGAAGCCACCTTAACCTCCTCCTTCAGGACATGCTACTCCCTTGGCCTTGAAAGGAGTTCCTCTTTCCCTGCCCGGAACCAAACACCTCATTCCTGTGTGTAGCAGAGCAATAAAGAAAGAACAGAGCTTCACCTCCATTATTTTATACATGATGCTTCTTTTAATGCAGCCAAAAATGATATTTGCTTTTCTCGGAACCAAAACCGATACAGGATGCAGTGGCCAATTCATTCCTCACAACACCTGGGCTCCTGAAGGGGCCAGAAGACACAAGTTACATCCAGCTTGTCAGGGAGCCAGAGGTGGCATGGGCCCTCGGCCAAACTCTGGTAGGCCTGCCATGAAGCAGGGCCTGGCCGTGCAGCCAGAGGCTGGCAGAGGCTTGGGGAGGGGGGAGAACAGAGGCATTTGGTCTCTTGGTCCTTTGAATCGGAGACCAAGGGCTGCTCAACAAGCTCAGGCAAGGGCGGTCCATCTGCACGCCTGGTGGATTCTAATGGCTTCCAGGGTAGAGAAGGACATGTGCAGGGGGTCATGAGAATCCTTCCAGCCTGCCCTTGGCCAGGGACACCCCGGGGTCTGGGGCCTCTTCCAGTGCCTGGGAAGGCCCCTGGAGCATGCCAGTCCACTTCCACCCCCTCTAAGAGACAAGAGGGACAGGTGGGAGAATACTGTTTAAAATACCCTTTCTCGTTTATAAATGCAGCAGAGGAAAGACGTAGGCACCCTTTCTCCAGTTTGCAAGCGAGGGGGCCAAGACACATGAGCACTCAGCACGCGGCAGGGAGAGCGGTGGGGGTGGCTCCTGCACGAGGTGTCTGCCTCCCCCCAGAGCCCCTCCACCGTTCGTCGGGGTTTGCCTGCCCGGAGCTGCTCTGGCCTGCCCACCCGCGTCTTCCCGCCAGGCTGGTGACCCAGGCCGGGGGTCACTGCCGATTTCGGCTGCCCAGCTTCCTGCGATCCTTGTTCTGGCTGCGCTGAGGGTCGTCCATCTTGTGGACTCGGAAACATTCCTTGAGGTTCTGGGACCGGATCTTGGGATTCAAGATCTCCTCAGTCATGGAGCTGGGGAACCAGCCTCTCTCCTGGTCGTGCAGACGCTCGCCAAAGATCCACCCTGTGTAGGGGCGGGGCGGGGCGGGTCAGGCCGTGGGGGTGAGGGCTGAGGGCTGAGCCTCCGTCCTGGCCAGGGCTCCCATCTGTGCGGGGAGTAGAGGCGAGGGAGATGCAGGAGCCCCGCTGGCCTTTCCAGAGGGCACCTGCTTGAACAACTGCTACTGGACACACTTGGGTTTTTTTCTCCCCAGGAGCCGGGAAAGCACTGCCCCGACCTCCTCCTGCGGAACATGGTCCTGGGGCGCCAGGGTGTCTCCCAAACGTATTGGCTTTGGAACCCATTCCTGAGCCCTTGGCAACTCTCTGCCTCTCAGCATGAAGCCAGGAGACCCCAGGACGCCCCCCAAAGGGAGAGGTATCCAAGCTGACCACCTGGAGTCTGGAATGCCACCATCACCCTCTTGCTGGGCAGCCTGCTCTGAGCCTCAGCCTCGTGATGTCTGCTTCTGCCCATGGGGCTCAGGCATCCCCCTCACCCCTCAGACTGGTGCAGAGTCCTAGGGGTGGGGAAGGGGTGGTGCGAGGGGGAGAGGCACCCAGCCCCAGGTCTCACCGTCTTCGGTCTTTTCCAGGATGTTCAGGATGTCGGCCAGCTCCAGTGTCAGCTCATCCGGCTGCTGGGCCACATACGGGTGCACACATTGGACCTGGGGGCAGTCTGAAGGGAGGAGAGAGGGAGGTGGCACGTCCTCATCCCTGTCGCCCGTCCTGCTATGGGCCCGGCAAACCGTGGACACCCCCGGGTTAGCAGGGCAGGCACGCCTAACAGAGCAGTGCAAATTCCCACGGCAGTTGGAAAGGGTCTGTTCGAGGGAGAGGGGGGTGTGGCTGCAGAGAAAACGTGGTTAAAACAGCCAGGGGCGCTGAAGAAAAAGCGATCTATGCCTAAAGGGACGAAGAGGCCGGGAGGGGGGCTTATTTCGGACGTCAGAGGGCACTTCTCGGACCCGGAATGTGGTGCTGGGAGCAGTTGTGGGAGGGCCAGGACTTGGAGAGCCCAGCAAGCCCATCAGCCTCTCTGGGAGGCAGGTGGGCCGGCACCCTTTTATAGTTCATAAGGTTTTCAGACAGCTGGCAACCCCAAAAGAACACTGGCGTTTGCCTTCTGGGCCCAGATTCCTCTTGGTTTCCTTGTGGGACCTGTCACTTAAGACCAAGTGACTTATTTCATTATTAAGCATCCACGTGTTTGTGAAGCTCAGTTACACCGATGTCGTCCATCCGGGTTGGTTCAAAGCCCCTCGGGCGGGGGAGGCCATGTGGCCTCTGGGACGGCCGGCTCGTAGGCACTGCCCCGTCGGAGCGCAGAGAGCCCCCGCCCCGCCCCTGCCCTGCAGCGCCCCGCCCCGCCCCCGCCCCGCCCTGCAGGCGGCCTCCTCCTCCCCGAGGGCACTTACCCAGCAGCCGGGAAGTGAAGGAAACAAACTTGGTTCTCCGGTTGGGGGCCAGTGAGGTCATCCAACGCTTCATCTCACTCCTGGGACATGGAGGAGGACACTGCCAAAACCACAGAGCGACCCCCCCGCCCCCGGCGTGGTGCCAGGCATCCCACAAGGCCACAGCAATCTCCTTGACACGCGTGAAGGTCCGCTGGTGAGGGAGCCCCCCCCCCCCCAAACAGCCCTGAAGCCACAGGCTCTCAGACATGGAACCGGGAAGGCTGTTGTTGTCCCCATCTGGGTGGGAGGAACTGGACCTAGATGGGGGCGTGACCTGTGAGCTCCGTGGGGACAAGTGCAGGGTACCACACGGGGCTCCAGCACCTCTGTCCACACTGACCTTGGCTGTCCCTCCCAGAGCCCTGGGGCTGCAGGGCAGGTGGCCTGGCTGCTCAGAGGGGTGATAAGATGGCCCTGGGACCACCCCGTGGTGTGGGGCATGGTCAGCGTGGCCCCGAGGGCTCTACATCTCATCAGGAAAGAGAGGCCCTTCCAGAGCCTGAGACCAGAGAGGACACACGCAGACACCCCCCCCCCCCCCCAGTTGATGGCAGCCCCTGGAGGCCGGTGGGCCACCAGGTGTGGCGGAGCCCCGGAGCCTTGCTCCACCCGGGAAGGAGACTCGGAGGCGCCTCGGGCGTCAGGGGCAGGGCCGGCGGCGCGGGGCACTCACTGAGAGGACGCCTTCAGCATGTAGGTGGCCTCCCGGTCGTCCGCGTTCTCCAGCAGCCGCAGGATGAACACGTTCGCCAGCGTCTGGCCCTGGTCCTCCAGTTCCTCCACGCGGAGGAGGCCCCGCGGGGCCGAGTCAAACACTTGGTACTTGTCTCTGCGGGGACCCAGGACGGCAGGGTGAGTGTGTTGGTCCCAAGGAGGCCCCAGCGTCCCAGGGAACCCGCCACCCCCAGTCCTGCTGGCCCTCCTGTTGGGGCCACTCCTCACCTCCTCCTGGAAGCCCCCCACCTGAACACCGGTCCCCCTGGCCCCCCAGACTGCCACCTCCCACGGTGACCGAGGGGCTAGCACTGACGCAGCCGCCAGGGCAGGGGCCCCCCCTGCGCACCCGGGGATCTGCCGGCAGATCACCAGCAGGTCGTTGAAGAGGAAGAGGTAAATTTCCCGGAAGAGTTTCTTGGTCCGCAGGGTTCGGGAGGTCTTGGGGCCGGACATCTGCTGCAGCTCACCCTGCTTCAGCAGCCAGCGGGAGTGGGAGATGATCGGCACCGACTGGCCGGGCGGGGGGGGGGGGGTACGGCGTCAGGTCGGCTGTGTCCCTCCAGGCCCCACCTCCCTCCCCAGGCTCCCCTGGCCTCACTGGCCCGCTAACCGGAGGACCGGCATGGGGGCCGCACTGCGGGTGCGGTGGGGGGGATGGAGCGGTGCCGGGCAAGCACGGGAGGGCGCGCCGCGTGCATGAGGGTGCATAGTCCCGTGTGTGCGTGCCTGCGCGTGCCTGGGTGTGGCCGTGCATTTGTCTGTTGTGTGTGCTTGCGTCTAAGTGTGTCTGTGTGGACTCGTGTCTCTACACGGGGGTGTGTGGGGGGGGGCCAAGTTCACAGGGGAGAGGGGAGAACCGGGTGCCATGGGACAAGCAGGCCAGTCTGCAGGCGCCTGCTGCCTGGCTCCGGGGGAGGCTCCTGGCACCCAGTGGTCGGCGTGGCTGGTGGAGACACGGGGGGAGCCCAGAAGGCCACAGCTGGGGCTCAGGGACCCTCAGTGGGCACGGTGTGCTCATGCGCTCACGTCACCAGAACCCAGGCCCCAGGGACCCTTGGGGCTCACTGATGCCTGAAGCTTGACATAAAGTCGGGGGAGGTCGGTCACTGCTTCAGATTTTCAGTCCACCCGCCCGCCCCCCATGTAAGAATCCCTGGAATGGTCCTTGTCACGTGCTTCATGTCAACTAAGTGCTCAAGGTCAAACAGCCAAGAAATAAGAGCAGGCAGCTCCGGGGTCCTTGCACACTCAGAAGATAAGCACAGGCCACTGCGATGGAGTGGTCACAGCGGCGGGGGCGGGGGGGGGCAGGCAGGGGCAGCGAGGGGTGCCAAGAGAGGTGTCAACGAAAGTGCCACTGGAACCCGACCAGGGACCGATGCCCCCGGCCAGCCCAGCTGGGCTGGGGACACATGGACGGGCGCAGGCTCACCTTGATCTTAAACTCCATCTTCTTCTGAATGCTGATCATCTGCTCCGTGCGGCTCATCTTCCTGACACCCTCATTGCACGCTTTTACCACCTGGCATGAGAGGGGGGACACATGAGGCCAGGGGCACCCAGCTGTTCCTGGCCACCGCCTCTGTCCACGTGGGCCCCAGAGTGCGCGGACACTGTCTGCAGCGAGACCAGCTGGCCTGCTCCTCGCCACGGCTCTTCGTTCTGGGGGAGATCATTAAAAATTGCAATAATTTTACATGCACTAAAGTGGAGCGCAGAGCCAGCTT